GCTGGATCCTGTGGCACATGTATGTTTAACTTTTTAAAGAAACTGCCCAACTGCTCACCAAAGTAGCATCACCATTTTTCATTCCCTCCAGCATCAAATAAAAACCGTAAGCCGAATATTCGAGAAATAGGAAGGACTTTATATCATGTATGTGTGTCAGATAGACTTCAGCAGCTTGACTCCAGTGCGAAAAAAGTGAAGTCTGTAACAGTGCGGAGTCCCTTCAATTTACTACTTCTGTACCGGTCTGCTTTCAGATCTGGTGGGGCTTCTGAGCAGCCTTTGCCTGTGTAAATACTTAGGATGGGCCAGGTGAAATAATGCTGACATTTCAGCTCAGAACAGCTAAATGATCACCATTTCTCAATGGCTCCACATCCTTTCCCCACTCTGCCCTTTTGACACATTAATTCCCATTTTTCACGGTTGACTTCCAGTAGGTCCCTTGGGATCTGTGCCTAGAATCCTCACTGGGTCCCTCTGTATCTTCTTTACAACCTGCAACTCTTACCAAAAGATGATAAATAAATGACCTCACCAGGTTCATTGCTCCCTCTTCCAGGCAAATAAGAGTGTCCGGCAAGACCACATCAAATGCTGAATCCCATGACCCCAACTGGTCACCAGGACACAACACTAGTGGTCCCCGCTATCCCTTTGGCTGCATCAGATTATTATTAATCCATAGAAAACCCATGGCTTTCTTCATCTCCAAACCAACTTGAATCCATTTTGTAAGATTTCATGAGACACTGTAACCGCCTCCTAACAGCTACATGGTGTTGCCTCCTAGCCCCAATTCTGTAATGTGCTTGCAAATGCTATTACACATGTTGGACATGGTTTGTTTTCAATAATCTCATAGCCTTTTTATTTATTGGAATGCCACAGCCCTCTATATGTTTACTTATTCTTTGCTTGTTTATCAAGTGCACAAAGCATCTTTTCTCCCTCTGCCCCAGAGTGCCATGCACTGGATTTCTAGGTTAGGTGAGAGATGGAAATGCAGCCCGAGACTGAGCCCTGAGGCAAGGAAGATTATACAAGGGAGGGTGGGAGGAAGGAAGACCAGATTTACCCAGATACTTTCCTGTTACAACGCACAACCATTTGGTTTTTATCAGTTCTCATTTTGAAGGCAAAACATGCTTAAAACGAAACATTCCCTATCTACACTCCTGAATGGCCAAATGTATTAGTGTCACCTGTTTCATTCTAAATGTCTCTCTAAAAGTCGTTGCAGGACCCAAAAGAACAGGAGAAAAAAAGAACAGGAAAGAAAAAGAACAGCAGAAAAAGAAAAGGAGGAAAAAACAACAGGAGAAAAACTAACTTAAAAAAGAAGAGGAGAAAAACTAAAACTCATCACCAAAATCCAGCCATCTAATTTTCAATTCATAGCTAAGCTTAACATCAATGCCCTCTTAGCCTATGTACATACACCAATGCCAAGGCAAATAAGAGACTAGGCTCCCCATTAGGATAAAGCAGTCTACTACTCACTCTGCATACATCATCTTAGTTAGTCTCCACAAAATTCAGTGAGGCAGCTATAATTATCCTCACTTCACAGATGAGAAGCTGGGGATTCGAGAAGTTAAATGACTTGCCCACACTGGCAGAGCTAGAAAGAGGCAGAGGCAGGATTTAAACTGAGGACTTCAGACTCCAAAGCTCATACTCTTTTCTCTAAACCAGGCTGCTTCCTGCGTTAAACTCCCTCGTCCCCCATCACAGTTGCCACAAGAATCTGCCATCTCTTCATCATCACCAATAAATATTTATCAAGGACCCACCGCCTACATGGCATTGCTCTTGTTTCCACAGCAACACGCTGTCAGAGAGTCATGGGAGTATCCCATGCTTAAAAGAAAGATGCCGTAATGTCCTGTGATCATAGCTCTGAAAGGTGACAGTTACACTACTACAGCGGATGCCTTCTCAGCTGGCAGCCTGGAGCCTGCAGGAGTTGTGCTGGGGATAAGCAAGAAGAAATTAAGTGGAGGAGAAAGGTAGTGGGTTGTAACCCCAGAGGATGGGCTGCTTTCACTATGAATGTGTTTGCGATCATTGCTGAAACAGAATCCAAGCCAGGTTTGCACATTAATTGTTCTTTTATTAGGAAACAAATCAAGCAATACAGGACAGAAAGTAAAATTCGACTGTACTGTTAACAGTTCCCCAGAGGTATCTGGCAATGATTATCGAGTTAAATGACTACATCACTAACAATTGCAATCTCGAGTCAGTCCCCTCTAAGATCCGTTTTTGCTCTCAATATATGGAAGCTGAAACTCACTAGTAAATGGACTAACTATCCCCTTATCCATTTGTTTAACCGTTTCCCTCTTCCCCCATCCCAAATCATGTTTTGCCACACTCTTAACAGGCAGATTTTAAATGCTTGTTTACCATGATTCCTTACAAAAATCGTCCTGGCTCATGAAACCCATCTTAGAGTAAAGAAGAAAGAAATTGCTTTTTGATGACAAGCTTTCACCACTGACTTCTGGACACCGTGACCAACATGTTACAGCAAAACATATACCCCAACTGTGTTATGGATGTAAGCTTACAAATTGAAATTGCTTTCGAGACTGGGAATTTTCAAATTAAAAGAATATGGGGAACAGATTACTGAGTTTTCAAATGTATTGTTCACCCAAACTTGCCAAAAGTTTTAAATGAGATTCTTTAAAGGAAATCAAGCTACTGCCCTGTTTATATTCGATTTGGGTTCCCACAATTTCTGCATTTAGAAATAAACTAAGAAGATAGATCCGTTTTTAAAAGTTGACATTTGCAGCATTCCTGCATCCACAAATGCAGATGTTCACGAGGAAATCTGGAAAAAAATAATCTAATTTAAATGGTCTCGTTAGCATTAAACAGAAAGGAGAGGTTAGTCATATACACAAAATCCCCATTTTTACGAATGAGTGAGGTTTACAATGCACCTAATCTCCAACACAACCTAATCCTACTCGTACAAGGAGCCCCTGCAACAAACGCAGCCACTTGCTAAGTAGATGCTATAGATTCGCCGAAGCCAGTCGGCTCAGGTAGAACCAAAAAGAAACAGACGGCGCCTGAACAGCAGATTTCTTCCCAAACTGTACTCCAGGATTGCTTTTCTTTCTCGCGTGTTCCTAAGAGCAAGCAAAGAAAAGGTGCTTGCTCCTCACACTTCTTTAAATGTTTTAACAAAAGGCTGCTGAATAAACACATTACTCATTTTAAAAACTGAAAAGAAGTTCTATTCCTGAGATGAAAGCAACTAGATTTGCATTTTAACAGTTGTGGGCGAGCGCCACCTGGCGGGAGCATCCGGAAGCGGCGTGCTTTCAGCCTTGGACAGATTCCCAAGCCTGTATGGTTTTACCGCACGTTACCAAAGAACGGTTTGAGATCCTTGGTGGAATATTTTTGATATTGTTTTTGCTGCGGGAACTTGAGTACTATTAACGTGTGGCAGGCTGGCCAGGCCTTGGAGGATAGTAAAATCTGAGTTACCAATCATGCCCGGGTCCCCAGGACTGCCCCAGGCATCCTCCTGCCCTCCCCCTCCCCAGCACACCTAATATAGACCCAAAACGAGGAAAACAAGAATCATGCACCATCTTTAGAATGATGTTGTGGCCTTTTCTCTTCTCTCACTTGGTAATCCAACCTTTCAGCTTCACACACCTCAAAAAGAAGTGTCGTATTCACCTAACTTCCCAGCCACGGAAACAGGGTGTCCCTTCGCGGAAGTCCCACATTCAGTTCCCATTTCGGTATGGAGCAAGGAAGACGCCGCTGCACTTCCAATGGAATGTCACTCCGGCGGTTCTCAACCTCAGAAGCAGCCCGGCTTAAAGAGGTTACACTCGCCCGCGGCTTCTTCCTTTCTTTCTCCACGATAATACATGGGCCCCGCTGTTACTCAGCAATCCAAAATGAGTCTTTTCCCAAGTCCCACTCGCTTCCCTCAGCCTGCCCCTGTGATGCCAGCAACCTCCGCTCGGGGTGGTCACCCCAAAGCCAGTTGGTGCTAAGAAACTTCCAGGTGATTTTGAACTTGGCTGTACCCCTGCACCACCTCCTCCCTTCTCTCCTTCCCCCCACCGCCTCCTCTGTGGGCGCGCAGGGCTGGAGCCGCCTGCGCTGGGGTTTGGTGACGTGTAAGACCCCGGGTCGTGGTGGTCTCCTGTGCACGCCAGCTTCCCATTAGGCGCACCCAGGGCAAAGCCCCACCCTGGGAACTACCTCTGCTCACCTCCTTCCCATCGTCAAACCTAAATATGGCTCCCCAAACTTTTCAGGAGCAGACACGCTCACAGGTCAAAGCCGCTCCGCTTGTGGGGCCTTCACAGGGGCGCCCACTTACTCCGGATGAAAAGCATGGGGTAGGGTGGAGGTACTGCTGTCTCGGTCGTTAACGCAAACACCCCCACGGGTGCCTTCTTAAGGACAAGCGGCCTGCTTAACGGCAAGCTTAGGGACGCAGCGTGTTGAGGGCAAGTCTGGAGCTTCCTGTGTCCCCCGGGAGAAAAGAAAAGCCACCGCCCTGGCAGCCTCGGCCAGTTGGCGACCAGTCCTCCCCGCGAAAAGCGCGCGCTGCCCAAAAAGCTGCTGGGGAGGGAGCGCTCCCCACCCCGCGGGCGTCGATGCCGCTTCCCGACTCGCCGCCCCAAACACTCAAGTGACAGATTCCGACAAGTGGGAGGCAGCAAGTGGAAATATTCGCAACAACCGCGCAAAGTTACTCCAGCCCGGGGGCCGGGCGGGAAAGTAAAGCGGAGAAGTTCGCCACACGCGGGCTGCCGAGGGACGCCGGGACCGGGCGCGGTGGCCCGGGCGCGCCTGGACTCGGCTGCCGGCGTCTGGAGGCAGGGACCTGGGCTCCGGCCCCGGGCCCCGCGCCCCCGCGAGCCCGCACAACTTCCTCCTCCCGGGGCCCCGCGGCGGGTGCCCGGGCGCCCCGGGGAGGCTGCGGGGAGCCCGGCGGGCGCACTCACCTGCGGCGCTCTGTGCCCCGGCGCCGGGCAGCGGCGGCAGCTGCAGCCGGAGGAGCAGGCTGAGGGCGAGCGCGGCGAGGCTCGCCATCCGGGCGGCGGCGGGCGGCTCAGCCCCTTCCCGCGGGGGCCGGGGCCGGGACTGGGGCGGGCGCGGGGCGGCCCCGCATCGCCGGCGCGGCCGCAGGCTGTGCGCGCCGCTGGGCGCCCGGCTGGCTCCGCTGGGCTCCCGGAGCCGGCGCCGCTGCGCTCGAAGCCGAGGCGCGGCGCGAACTGAGGCGGGAGGCTGGGCGGGGGCGGGACGCGGGGGGCGGGGGGCGGTGTCCCCCGAGTCCTAACGCCGCCGTCGCCGCCGCCGCCGCCCGCCCGGGCGCTCCGCCTCGGCCGCGCACACACCCTCGCGCGCACGCCCGCGCCCGGCACACGCCCGCGGCTGGCACACGCTGGCTCCCCCGCGCACCCTCACTGGGGCTGGCCGGCTCGGGGCCGCTCGCACTGTCACGCGCCTACACACATCACCCCCGCACCCGCATGCCGGGCAGGGTCCTCGCCTCTTCGCCCCGCGCCGCGCCACGCAGCCAAGCATCGTCTGCCCGGCTGGGGCGCAGGTACCGGGGGCGGTGGGGGGAGGAGAGAGAGAGGGAGCAGCCATTTGAACTCGGAGTGGGAGAACAGGTGAATATGGGGTAGGGGTGGATGAGAGAGGAGGGAGGGAGGAGCAGCCGTCTCAACTTGGGATGGGGGGGCCAGGTGGGGGTAGGGGGGCGAGGGAGGGGCATCTGCCCTAAGCTGGGGCAGGCGTCTGCTGGCCAGGGTCTCGGGCACGCCCTGAGATGAGAATTTCATCTAACAGTCGACACCCTCACCCCCACCACACACACACATTCCCTCTCTCTTCTGGGGGCATCGCTGACCGCGCCGCAATCGCCCCCCACCTTCTCAGCCGCCCAGGCACCCCTCTTATCCACCCACATCTCTTCGTTGTCCCCACCCCCACGCAGAAGAGGAGCAGACTGGGCCTGAGGCATCCCCCTCTCTCGCGCCGCCTTCCCCCCTTCCCTTTCTCGGGAGACAGAACTGTGTAGCTTTTTCCTTTTTCTCCCCGGTCTGAACAAAGACCTGGTTGGGGCTGGAAGCCTAAAACCATAGCTCAGAGTCAGAGCTGCCCCTGCAGCCTGCGGCTGGGACTCTGCCCTCCTGGGAGCCCGGATCTCAAGGAGGAGATCCAGTGCCACTTGGATCCCGGCTGGGGGCCTGGGCTGTAAAAGCGGGCACAGGGACACCTGGGCAATGCTCGAGGGACTCACCCTGTGAACCTGGCCAAAGCATCCCTTCCTCTGTTTCAGGATAGCACCCTGTCTCCCGGTGGGACTCCAGGGGTTGGACTGGACTGACTATGGGGGAGAAATGTGAAAGTCAGGCCTGGCTAGGGTTTCCAAAAGTGGGGAGCCTCAGGCTCTGGATTGAGTGCTATGGCAGAGAACACAAGGCCTCACTCCCCCACACCCCAGATCCCACTAGGTGGAAGGGAACAGCTCCGTTGAATAAAGACCCATCAACTCTGGCACCCTGCGCTTGTAATCCCAGGTGAATTCTCCACCTGTCTCTGGCTCCCCACCACCACCACCCACCACCACCGTGGAAAGGTGAAGGGCTCGGACTAGCCTGTTCCTCGCCAGTGTGTCCCCCACAAAGGACTGCCAGGGAGGTTTCCCTGAGTCCTGCTTCCCAGACCCCTGCCTGGGGAGAGTCGGGATCCACAGGTCTAGGAGGGAGGCCTATGATAAGCTGCCTCAGAGCTTCTTAGTAATTCTGCGGATACTTACAGAGTGCTTAACCATGTGCCCTACTCTATACTGGTCTCTGGGGACTCAGAGATGAATGGCCCTTAGGACAATTGGAATGGGAAGATCCCTTCTGCTCAGAGCTAGGCCGCTGGCTGTTTCCTCCGTCATGCCCTCACCCAAGGCTTGTCTTGGGCAGATGAGTCGTTAGGGAGCCCCGGAGGAGAGGCCGGAACCAGGCCCATGACCTGTGACCCTGGACATGGCTGATCCCAGGGCCTGACGCAGGGGAACAGGAGTTCTCCTGCCACTCAGAAGCTTGGTGTCATTCATCTAACTTGCCCTGGCTCCCTTGGCTCCTATTCATTCCCTCTCTCAAGCTTTCTGGAGAAGTATAAAATAGCAGTTGTCCTGGTGCCCTCGGAGCACACACCCTCCTGCACCCACGCTCTAGAGATGCCTCACCGCTGCCCACAGAGCTCCCTGGTCTGAGTGGGGTTCATGCGACCCCGAGAGAAAGCTCCATTCCAAAGCTAACTGAGTTGGTGGGGCGGGACCAGTGCCCGAGCTCGGCACCAGGCTGGACCTGCCCGGGGTGCGCCGTGGCCCTCTGTGCTTCCCCAACCCTTCACCCCTGGATGCTTCCCCCTCTAGTCCTTTGGGAGCGCATGCCCTCACCTGCTGCCCAGCAGGACTCTGGCGTTCAGTCTCATCACTGTGCTTTTGCACCTACCGTTCCCTCTGCCTGGAAGGCCCTTCCTGGCATCGTCTCCCGGGTAAACTCACACTGGTCCTTAAGGCTTCTCTGTGAAACTTTGGCCAAGAGGTACTTCCTGCCCAAAGCCTGTTGCCAAGGGCCCCTGGGCTGGCCGCTGAGGCGATGCTTTGCACGCTGTGGGGATGTGGTTTGTCTCCTTGGTCTCTTCTGCAAGCCTGAATTCTCAAAGGTGCCAGGGCGCTTAACACATGGCTGCTGGGTGGTGGGAGGCTGAGGGGGAACGAGGGAATGGCTCAGGGCCACAGATGCCTCAAGCCAGGCCCCCTCTGAGCTAGCTTCTCAGGGGAGGGGATTCTCGGAAAGGACCTGCTTTTGTATCTGCCCCCTATCAGCCTGGGGAGCTAGGAGAACTCGACCACATGGTCCCCCCTGGCTCAAGGCTGGGCTCGGGGTCAATGCTGAGGCAAGGAGGCTGGGGCCTGGGGTGAGCTTTGTGGTGGCTGGAAAGGGTGGAGTGGCATTCTGCCCTGCAGCTCCTTTCAATTCCGCTCTTGTCCTTGGAGTGACTCTGCCCTTAACCCCGTTGGACTTTTGGCAAGACCTCTCTGGGCCTCAGTTTCCCTATCTGCACAGTGGTTTCCCTTTCAGCTCAGGCAGGGACCAAGACGGGAGCGTTCAGACATTTTAGCTTCAGATCTCTTAATCCAAGCATGGTTTTAGGGGAAGCCTGAATCCTGAGACATTCTTGCAGCAAGTGAGCTGTCGGCCTGCCACATGCCAGGGAGGGATGGGTCTGTGCATCTGCAGCTTGAACAACAGATGTGGTCCTTGCCTCAAGGAGCTTACGGTGGGAAAGACCAGACAAAGGGCGGTGAAGGAGCTAGAGATGCAGAGATGGCCTCCATCTCCCCTGCCACTTCCCTGCCTGCCAGCGATGGTCAGCCCTCCAAAGAAAGCAAAGACCCTGTGTAAGGAGGCGGCCAATGAGTGGCTGCTCCACTGGGGCCTTTTATCTTCTTCCTGTGGCACAGGGCACCACTAGCCATTTAAATTTAAAATTTGGAAATTCAGTCTTTAGTCCCACCAACTGCATTTCAAGTGCTCAGTAGCCACATGTGGCCAGTAGCTGCTGTACTGGACAGTGCAGATACAGAACATGTCTGTCTTCACAGAAAACTCTATTAGACAGCACTGCTCAAACTACAGCCCATGGGCCAAATCTGGCCCCCTGCCTGGTTTTATAAATAAAACTTTATTGGGGCACAGCCATGCTTATTCATTTGCATGCTGCCTATGGCTGTTTTTTGCAGAAAGTTGTATCAGACAGTGCTGCTATAGAGCAGGAGTCAGCAAATTACTGCCAGTGGGCCAAACCTGGCCCACCTCCTGTTTTTTATAAATAAAGTTTTATCGGAACACAATCCTGCGTATTTGTTTACATATTGTGTATGGCTGCTCTCTGCGCTACACAAGCACAGTTGAGTCATAGTGACAGAGATCATCCGGCCCACATCACTGAAGATATTTACCGTCCTTGCCCTTTACAGAGAAAGTTTGCTGGCTTCTTCTCTAGAAGCAGTCTCACGTGCAATCTGACGATCATTGGTCTAAAACTGGTTCTCAAAGTGTGTTCCTTGGACCAGCATCATCAGCATCACCTGGGAACATGTTAGAAAGGTGAATTCTCAGGCCCTTCCCTAGACCTGCTGAGTCAGAAATGCTGGAGGTGGGGCCCAGGAATCTGTGTTTTAGCCACCCTCCCAGGTGAGTCTGACGCCTGCTAAAGTTGAAAATCTCTGATCTAAAACACCCACGAAGGAAATGCCAGTGAGTGAGTGACACAGGAAGGGTGCTAATGGGCTCGAGTGGGAATAGAAGAGTTTGGAAAGATGTCAGGAGAGTGATGGCCCATCCGCTCTCTGCCCCCTCTGCAGCGGAGCCTTTGACAGCCCTTTGAGGAGGGGCCCTCTCACCAGTGCCTGTGCCGATGCCCGGGCCCCACCGCCGGACGGCCCCGCCCTCCCACAGAGTTGTCAGCACATTTGGAGCTGTCTCCACGCATAAATTCATGGACCAGCTGTCTCTTTTAATCTGGTTGCAAGATGAAACCATTAATAGATGTCAGACACATTGGCAATGATCTCTTCATTAATAATTTCCTCCTTTCCGAGGGAAAAAAAAATTAGTAACAAGCAACCATCAATAATTCAAAAATACAAGTTAACCTTTCTATTAGCAGAGTGGCTCTGCACACACCACGGACTCTTTCAGAGCCAGTAGTCCTGGCTTGAATAATGTTTTTGTGGCAGGAACATTAATATGCATTAATGCTGTCTGTCAAGACACGCAAATATAAATAACTCAAATGCAACTTGGACACTTTAAGTATTTGTCTAGTGTAACCTCACGATCCGACCATTTGGTTCTGTAAAAACATGCATTATCCAGTAATATTGCTGTGACCGAAAGCAGGACTTTCCAAAGGAATCATTTTCAGTTTGAGGCCCTTGTGGTTAGAAAGATTTCCCTTACGCTGAACCAACACTGCCACTCTGTTATTTCCTCCCTTCGAAGCTGGCTCCTCTTTCTGGGGACCCACAGAAAGAGCCTGGACACACCTCCAGGTGACTTTCATCTGGATGTTGGTGTGCCCTAGGTAAGCCTTCTCAATTCGTTGCCCTCATTTCCTTCTTGGTCCTCTTCTTATGTGATTTTTCAGACCCCCAACGTCTGGTTCCTCTTCTAGAA